TAAGATAGCTATAGAATTAGCAGTGTCTTGATGGCTTTTTGACTGTAAGTGCCTCAGAGTGTGGAAAGCAGGGCTGTAGTAACACAAATGTTTTTGTTCTAAGATGTCCGCTGTTAGGCACACATTTCAAGCACTTACACTCGGGAGAGTGTAGATAGACAGACTTTTTAAGATCAAGTCTGATCTACAGTTCTGTGTAAAGGCATTATCTTTGTTTTATTATTTTATCTTTTTTTTGTTTTTTATCTTTTTTTTTATCTTTTTTTTAATCTTTTTTTTTATCTTTTTAAAAAGTGGTTTTGTGCAATAGATCTTTATTATTTTCATGCTTTGTCTTGAAAAACAGATGATTTTTTCCCCATTTGCTTAGTCGAATCTATTAAGAAACGTCAACGATAACACAGTTTCATAGGCATGAAATCATAATTTTGCACTTACAAGGTGATTTTAAAAGGACTATTAGAAACTTGAGATATTTCATCCTTAAAAAGCCAGACCGTGTTCTTAAAAAAAATCTGAGGAAACTAGATAAATGGAGGAACAAAGAAGAACTGCCAGGCGTGAAAAATTATCTACAGCAGATAAACAGTATCTGAAGATCACGTCCTTAAGAAATAGGCAGAAATGCTGACAAAGGACCTTAGAGGGTCATTCGATCCTTAAGCTGATGCATCTACTGTTCACTGAAGCCTCATCAGAAATGGTCTCAGTGGAAGGATGGCTGGGAAGAAGCCATCCTTAAAGAAAGGAAGCAGGGAGAAAGGACTGAGATAAATTACATGCGAATTTGATTGAAAATTAGTGGCAACGGGTCTTATAGAGTGATGGATACGAATTTGAAATTTTTGGTTCACATTGTTGTCAGTGGAGGTCAGAGAGGTAAGAGGTAAACAGTGAGTGTCTATACCCACCTGTAAAACATGGTGGACGCTCTGTCATGGTTTCAGGCTGTAATTCAGTGAGTGGTGTTGAGGATCTTGTCAAAACTGATGGGATTATGAATACACAAAAGTACTATAAGATTCTGATCTACCATGTAATGCCAGGAAGAAGGCATCAGTTTAGCAACAGCTTGACTTTTCGGCACTGATCTCAAAGACACTTCCTATGCAGGATAGAAAAACAGATAGTGGAACACTGTCAGTCATGGATTGGCCTCCTCAGAGTCTCGACAATACTAAAGCAGTGCAGGGTCATCTTGACAAAGAACAGAACAAAAGGCAGCCAACATCAAAATAAGAGGGCTGATGTCCCTCAACAAGTCTAGGGAACTATTCCTGAAGACTACTTGGTTTCGTTCACTATTACTTGCCCTTATATTATAGCCCATATGGCCCTGGCAATGTGCTAATGTATGCTGATTTATCGCATAGGAACTGACAACAGGACATCCTAACTTCACTGTACTGTTTCAATAACTACAATAGACATATGAGGCGAAGGTAAATTTAAAAAATCCTAATGTGTTTATAAGAAGCAGTTGATCATGATGGTCAGTGCTGACTCGTGTAGATATTTTCTGCTGCAGCTCATTTCATGTGTGAAATCAAAATGCAAATGAAGAGCCATGACTTGTTTCCCCTCTTGTGTTAGTGGGACTTTATTGCTCTGTGCTTTCTTTAACCCACATTTCCACACCAACATTAGTCCATGAATAACTCCACACAGTTGCAGAGGAACAGCAGTTGGCATGGATGCTGGACAGTGGGAGGGAGGCTCAGACAAAGACCTCTCCAAAATCTCTAAGCACCTTTAGGCTGGTAGATGAACAAATGGATTGATAGATGAATAAAGATGAACACACATGCACGACACACATGAGTTATGGCTGGTATGTGCTCCACTCGGGGCCTCTGAGCTCTGCATTGGCAAGTGTTTTTAACATGCATTAGTCAGCCTTCTGATAACTGCCACTCTATTGTTAGTGAGTTGACAGACTCACAGATAGAGAGACAGACAGCTGGGCGGACGTCTCTGATTATCGCCGTCTCTCTTCACCTGGACTCTGGCATGTTATCCTTCATTCCCAGAGTGGTTCAGATATTTCCATTTAGTACTGCGTTCTGTAAACAATAATGCTGAGCCACAGTTAACTAATAGGCTCACAGCCATTTGTCTGAGACTGGCTGCTTTGGAACTGGGACAGTGCATCCACTTGACTTTTACTACTATACAAAACTTTTGTTTACTATAGTTGCAATAACATTTGTCAGTATCGAGACATCTAGTACAGCTTAACGCCTGAGGTGGGGATACTTTGACAATACAGTTTGGAGTCCTGTTTTTTCTCATAACATGTTGCTGTCACCTCCCTTGAACTCGTACTCTAATCGAATAATGAAGGAGAGACTGTGGAATTCAGGACAGATAAGCGCTGTTACAGATGCATTAGTCGAAAAGTTTCTTCCTTACGTCAGTCAGCAGGAGATATATTTGATTGGTCCCAATGCAGTGATATCCTGGGATTAAGTTTGAAGAGTCACACACAGAGTTCAGTTATGAGCCTTAGCGAGAATGTTATCTGCTGTCAGAGTCAGGAGATTCTTGGAAAGTGCAGCTGTAGTTATAACCTTATGCAACTTTATAGCCAACATCATTAGGAATGTGAGTGCGCTGCATGAATCAAGAGTACAGTTTGAATCATGCGCCAACAAAACACACAGTAACAGTGACATCTAGCGGATGTTTGTCTTTACTGCATCACTAATTACAGGATTGAATGTTTTAACACAGGTCTGATGATACAAAATTTGTACTTTTGTGTACTGTAAAGTCACACTGAATTTGTGCATTCAAATAATTTTATCTTGATCTTATTTCCACTCAAATACATGACCATTTATTTTTCTTTTACTTTTAGCCATTTACTTGTGTTTAAAAAAATCTGTTTATATATTTTTTAATATTTAAAAGAGAAAGAGAATAGTAAGTTATTGAAAAAGTAGACAAAAGTCAATTGATAAAAATTAAGAAAATAGTTTTTTTGTTTCCAGGGTTTGAGGATTATCTTTAATGATGCGTCCCGCCTGGTGTTTCGAATGAGCGGGAGCGGCGGAGGGATGGGGACCACCATCCGCATTTATGCCGAGAGCTTTGAGAGAGACCCGGAGAGACACAACAGAGAGACACAGGTACGCAGATGGGTTTGATGGTGTTTATGTACCTTCTTTTTGTGACATTTGTGCTTATATCAATTACTTCTCACCTTTCAGTGGAAAAATCCTGTCCTAAATCCCTTCAGGAATGGCATCTAGCCAAGGTTGAACATTTGAACCTCTTTGTCTGGCTCTGGGGCCTTTCTGTGTTTTATTTTCCCTCTGGGTTCAATAAAGGTCCATGTGAGGCTAATTTTCCAGAGACATGGATGAGAGAATGTGTGCTTGTCTCTCTGTGTTTTCCCCTGAGATAGACTGTGACTATCCCAGGGTGTACCCACCTCTTTCCCCATGACAGCCGGGATGGGCTCCACCCAAATCACGACCCAAAGAAAATAGAGGACTGTATAGAAGTACTATCCTTATCTTGAACTATGGTGTGGCCATTTGTTTGCCATTTGTAAATTCTTCCAACATTGTTAATTTAGCATTATTATGTCATCTTTAGCCAGTTTTACCACCACAGGAAAGCTTTGTTGGCACACAGTAGCAGAAATGATGCTTCATAGTGAGCTTTTTCAACATATTAAATGCATGATATGTATCTGTGTGATACATAGGAGATATTCTATCATTTGAATGTTTAAAAACTTTAATTATATACATATATACTCCTAAACTACTACTTAAGTCTGTGATTTAGCAATCATAAAATTAAATTGATCGTGGCTCAAGAGTTGGCAGTTCGTCTTGTAATTGGAAGGTTGCCGGTTCGAGCCCTGGCTCCGACAGTCTCGGTCATGGTGTCCTTGGGCAAGACACTTCACCCGTTGCCTACTGGTGGTGGTCAGAGGGCCCGGTGGCGCCAGTGTCCGGCAGCCTTGCCTCTGTCAGTGTGCCCCAGGGTGGCTGTGGCTACAATGTAGCTTGCCATCACCAGTGTGTGAATATAACTGAATATGTGAAGCGCTTTGGGGTCCTTCGGGACTAGTAAAGCGCTATATAAATACAGGCCATTTACCATTTAAATAAAGTCCAAACTTATGTATGCAAGTAAGCATAATAACATAGATTAAATATATGCACAAGATGAATGGAGTAATATACAGTTATTGTTGGTACAGAATTAAAATAACCAATAACCACAGCCTCTATGTTTTATCCCACTTTGGGATAAAACATAGAGGCTGTGAAATTCATCTTATTTCCAGTTGACATCATGTCTTTAAGCAACAAAGACTTGGATGCGGGAATTAGATGACTTCCAGGAGGAGGAGGAGGAGGAAATTTAACAGGGATGTAAAGGAAAAATATTTGTGCTGCAGAGAGGAACAAGTGGAACCCCCAAAAATAGGAATGAAAAGAGTCCATATTTATCTGGGTCCCTTAAAACCTTTAACATAATTATGAAGCAGTCGTTCCAAAACTTGTGACGTTTATAGCAGAAATAAAACATATGGCTCAGATTGCAAGAGGAATAATGTTGGAATATGTTATCTGGAAGTTGAGAAACAGACTCTATTTAATATCTTAAACCTAGCACAGGGTGTACCATTGATCAGTCAGCCTGATTACAAGCGCCTGCTCCCAGGCAGTTTTGTTTTTGAGTATTCAGGGCCGCGACTTTTAATTGAGTCTAAAGGCCAGGAGACTGTTCCACGGCTGTTCAGCAGGGAACAGGGGAAAACACTCCTGCTGCAGTTTATTTACTAATTGTTTACATGTTACTTCTGACATACTGTAATTCACTACATATTAGCAGAGTAAATACTCAGTCAGTAGTGATACAATGTCTAAGGGCTTCATCACTTGTTGTCTTGAGCTCACGTCTTCAGACAATAATTGATGAAGTATGGTTAAATTTTGATCCGAGGTTTATGTCAGGCTGAGCAGTTAAAAAAAAAAAAAGGACACAGCATGTACTGTGGTTGTATTGTGATTATGTATTATAACTTTCATTCAAACTGTTAGATGACTGGCCTGTAGACTTTGGAGTGTTTAGCAATGAAAGCTTGTTGTGTGGCTACGGATGTTTGGGATAGGTAGTGTACTTTAAACACACCCGGGAGTTATAAAGATGCCTTTGCAATTTAGAGCGGTGTGTGTGTGTGTGTGTGTGTGTGTGTTGTTCAGATTAACGACATTTCAATTCTGACTTTGCCACAGAAAAAAGCAAAGAAAAGCAACGAAGTTTATATTTGAGAATTACTTTTTAGTCTTTTATTATTAAAATGCAGGTGCAGTAATTCAAAACGTATAGGGCAGCATGAAGTTATGTCCCAATGTTACATCCCCCTTTTTATTCATGAAAATAGAAAATCATCCTCGCTAAACTGCTGTTATGATAAGCATACCTGAACTGTGATTTAGTTGCTGTGTTTATTCAGCCAATAAAAATGTGTTATTTGTGGCATTACACTGAACCCTCGGATTATCCATCATTAGATCATAAATTCAGCATCTAATCATTCTGGCCCTTACCCAGCGCGCATGAATTATCAGAGACGACATACATGATTGCACGCTATGCTTACTCAGCTAGATTAGAGGGACAGATTTTATGTACAAGATTCTCAGCCAAGCTAAAAAAAAGCCACATGTTTGTGTGCAGCCTTAGTAAAATCTGTGCTTTCAGTGTAATACATGTTTGTTTTTTTTGCATGTAGCAGTTTTGGGATGAGAATATCATACAATGTAGAGTGTTGTGGAAAAGTCTTGAGATCACCAGAAAATGGTAAATAGATTTAGAGATTTACTTATAATTTCTTCAGGAATAGTTCTCCAGGCATCTTGAAGGACACTTTAAGCTCTCTTTTGGATGTTGGATGTTTTTTCTTTTATTCTTTGTCAATAATATTGAAGTTCAGGGGAAGGGGAAGTTCAGGCTCTGGGGAGGCCAGTCCATGACTGATTGTGTTTTACTGTGTGTTTATCTATCCACATATGTTTTTACCGGACTGGGAGTATATGTCAGATCATTGTCATGCTGAAAAATGCATTTGTTGTCTATCAGTTGCTTTCCACATGGTACTATGTGATAGATTAAAATCTTTCTGTACTTTCCTGCATTTATAATTCCATGCATTTTGACAAGATCTGGCTGAAATTCAGTGTGTAATTTGGCATACCTCAGCCTTTTCTCCCTGTTTCCCTTCCTTAACAATGGCTTCTTGACAGCCACTCTTCCACTGAGACCATTTCTGATAAGGCTTCAGTGAGCAGTAGATGGATCAGCAGAAGGCTCAGATGCATCTCTCAGATCCTTGCTGGATTTTTGTAAAGACAAGGTTTGGCTACTTTCAACCAAAATATAAAGAAATGAGGGGCGTCTCAAGACTTTTGCACAGCCCTGTACATGCCTGCTGTTTTCCATCACACAATGCTGTGCAGTAAAGGGTTCAAATTAACACTGACCCAACACCAAACCTGTTAGTCATAATGTGAAGTTTGTGGGATGTTGTCATTATTTGTTGTCTCATGCTCACTTTGTATGCATTTTCTGAATGTAAAAATAAAAAAGAACCAGTTGAATAACCAGGTTAAAGCTCCTATAAAATCCCCATGATGTGGATGTTGAAACAGTTTTAAAGGTCTAGACTTACGTAAGTCTAACTAGGTTATCTGCTCTGGAATCTGTGTAAGTAACACGTGATGTCTATAAGTATAATGTGCCAACCTCGCACAGCAAAACTGACCAAAAAGCTCACAAAATTCTCAAGAACTCGACAGTAACTTAGTGCGAATGTGAAAGATTTAAAGGTCTGATTGAGTTTCAAAGCACTGCCTTCAGCTCTCTTTGCTTTGTCTTCAGGTGGTGCTGGGTCCTCTCATTGCCATTGCCCTGAAGATCTCGAACATTCACGAGAGGACAGGACGCCGTGGCCCAAATGTAATCACATGAGCAAGTGGAAAAAACCAAACCAACCAAAAAACACTCTCACACTCATATGCAAACACATGAAAAATATCCTCAAAGCACCCTTTCCTGTTACTTTCTTGGTTTCATCTTTAAAATATCTCTGTAGTTTCAGCCTCATTTTTCATTTCTCTTTTGACTCAGATGCTTACCGCTGACATTTGTCTCTCAAAAATAAAGTTAAAGTCGCACACAGTGTTCTCTGTTCTTTATTGATGACTACCATTTAGTGGATAAAAGTGGCAGGCGTAATTATTGTTGTGGATAAATAATGAAAAAAAGGTAGACAGCGAACAGATTATGAGCGTGCAAACTCACATTTCAGATTGCCCGAACCTATCACAGCATGTTTTCAACTATTTGACCTTTTAAAAATCTGAACACTAAAAGTAATTGCCAGAAAATTCACATTTTTGTATTTAGTTAACCTTCTGTTTAAACTTTAAGACAAAATTAAATATTAATTTGCATGTATGAGTTGAAATTTGCATCATATTTGCCTAAACCGAGGCTAGTACTGCACCATAATACATACAGTTTAATGGTATACTGTGGTATAAATATGTGTTAACTTTATTAAAGCCATAAAATTAAAACATATTTCTTCTATGAATACTTGATAAGTAACCACAATCATATTTCAAACCTACATAAGTTAAAAAGAAAAATGTGCTCTCAACAGTTTTAGCTTTTATTCTTTAATTTAGGATTTGAAAATGTTGTATGATCATGTTTGAATTCATTATTTCTTTTTTTAAATCCAAATAAAATATTTGTGTGTAATTCTTTTCCTTTTCATTTAGTCAAATGGCTTTAAGGACAAAAAGAAAAAAAACAGACTTAGTGAAATATGTTGCCCTTAAGTGTTTTGTTGCGCTGACACCATATATCAGGTGGTGTATGAATGCCCTTTCGTTATTCGAGGAAAGAGCGTGCTTTTAAGCATAAAGTGTGTTGGAGTTGTTGTGTTGAGACAAAAAAATGAAGAAGGCTGATCTTTATATGGCCTGAATGAGACACGCAGAACTCATAAACAGCCTGATTGCTGTCTTTATCAGTTGAGGATATGCCAGTGGATATCCGTAAGGATGTGTTCACTCAGCCAGCCAGACATTACCAGCCAGCCATAGCAGGTTATTGCCCCATACAACAGTTTTATAGCATCAGGTGTTATTTCTTAAGATGGACGGGGATAGGGGGCACTTTATCAACTTTAGACAAGTTGCTAAAAACACAATTTAGTTAAAATTGTTTAAGCTTTAGCATATTATAGCCAAAAGCATGATTAGAAAAAAAAATACCATCAAAAAATACCACCAATAGTGTAATTAAAAAAATGGCAGCAACCACTCTTTTCCTCTTTATATTGTGTATAAAAAGCTGCAATGCTGCTGTTTGTGCTCGACCGGACTTTTTATTGTGATGAAGTGCGCCGTCAGGTGTAGTCTTCATGTGTTGAAATACTTTATTAGGACATCTTACAGTGTCATAAACAGAAAGCATGTGCACATTCAGCAAAGGCAGAAAATATGTAACAGTCAGACAGTATTTTCAGTCACACTATATAGTTAGGTCACACTAGTTACATAGTTACAAGTCACATTAATGTACTCAAAAGATCAGACAATCATTTACAGTGTTAAATAATGATTTGTTAGGTCACCTGTCATATAAACAAAAATATTTCAAAAAATTTGTTTAAAACTAAAAATGATAGTTTTATTTATTAGGCAGGTCTCCAACTTTGAGCTGGCACGCTGGACAAGTCCAAAAATATTTTTTTATTCAGAAATGCAAGAAAAAAAACTGTAATTTGGCATCTTAATTTAAAAAAAAATAAGTTCTTTAATATTTTTTTTTTTTTTGTAAAACAGCAAATTTTACAATTTATTGATAACAGCAAAAATTCATTTCAAAATTAAAAATACAACTTTGATTAAAGTGCGTGCACACACTGGTAGATTAACTTGCAGAAACATAAAAAATGGTCTGGGTAATTACAAACGCTATTTATTAAGGAAGCTGTGGCATAAACCTTACATTGGGTGATGGCATAGTAAATTTGTTAAAGACTGCAAATTAAAAACCACTCATCAATGCACTCTTCATTTTCTGTCCATCTCTGCATCCATTTTTTTTAAAAGACAGCAAAAAGTGGATGAAAGACTTTGTAGACTTTAAACTGTAGACTTTTGTAGACTTTAAAGACTTTAAATTAATGCGTCTACTAAGAAATTCATATGAAATGCAAAAATTTTGTAGTGTAAAAAGTGTAAAAGTAGCCATGTTGTTCAGTGTTTCATCTACATGTTCCGATACTGTTAACTGAAAAGAGGTTTTCAGAATTTCTGTGAATAGCCCAGCTGAATAAAGGTTAAATAAGAACTTCTGATTAACAAACAGCAAATATTCATATAAATTATGGTGGACTGAGATTCAGAGGTAATTGATAACTGAATGTTATTCTGTTTGCAATAGGCTGGGCATTTGTTACTCACTGTAGTGTAAATATTGTTAAAAATGTAATAAAGACATTTTATTTCCATGAACAAACAGACGATAAAGACAGTGAGCTTACCTGTTTGCTATGCTGAGTAAAGCTGATTCAACTTTGACAATATATCAGGCTTCAAAGATTAACCTTTAAAAACTAGTTTATGCATTTTCTAATGCATAAATCATCCAACACAGCAGTTGTTGAATGAAGTGCAGATAAAAGTAAGTTCTCCTTGTTAAATGAAACCTTGTCCACCTGGAGTAATACAACCATGCTTATTGGTCACACCAAATAATTTTTGCAGCTTAAAACTGAGGCTCATTCTGGCCGTACCCATGTAAAGACCCTCAGGCCGACGGATGACAGACACTAGGTTGTAGATTCATGGCAGAAAGATGATGTCAGCACATCTCTGCTGTCCGTCTTTTGGCACTTGAGCGATCCAGTGACATAAAAACATTTCCAGTTGTTCTGGAACTTTCTCACTCAGCTTGGTGTGGAAGTCATCCACTTCTACAATCTGCATTCCTTTTTTTCTCTCAACCAGTCAGGCAAAAACTGTTCTTCCCTCAGTGTCCAGACAAGCGCTCCCTCAGCTCCTCTGCATCCATATGTCCCTGCTGAATACTTTCAACTTCACTGTATGGTGGAGGTTGCTCCCAGCTAAACCTGCAGTCTGGGGCCTCTGGGCTGTCCTGGCTGTACAACGGAGGAGCCAGGCTCATCGGCATGTCTGTGCTATCGACTATGACCATAAACTCAGGAGACGCATCAGGGCAGACTTGACTTTCTTGGGAATCTTCATATGAAGGAGGAAAAGAGCTCAGTCTGTAAGGGAAAATAGATATTTGGTGTATTGTTTTTTTTATATATATATATATATAACAAACTAAGAATTGAGATATTTAATATATTTGTTTTTTGCATTGAATGCACACTCCTTACGAAAACACAGATTTACCTTTCAATAGTGAAGACCTGGATGTGTCGCTCACGTCCAATTCTCTCGGTGTTAATGCCTGAGCAGAGGCCCCAGCAGACCCCAGTGATCATAGCCAGGGGGCCACAGCCAATCATGATATACAGAAAAATGACCCTCAGAGCATTCTCATGCACGTTCGCCTGGGACACCAGGTAGATCCCGGTACACATCAACAGAAGTCCCAAAGAAGGCAGAAAAAAACAGAATAAGGACAACAACTGCTTCTTCACATTCATGGTCACTTGTTGCATTTTACTGCAGTCCTCTTTGTCTATTCTGTCCTGTGGTTGAAAGACGCTCTTTCACAAGTAGCAATGAAGTATCTCTTCGGTACCTTTCAGGATGACATGAGTGTAGCCTTGCCAGTAGTAGAAAAATCCTGACTACGTTTGAGTACTGAACTGTAGCAGCCTGCTAAAGCTGCCCTGCCTCTTCAGACATACGGGGAAGGGCCTGCCCTCCTCTCGGTTGTATATTAACACAGTATTATTCTAAGGTCAGAAGAATTAGAGCGATACTGCAAGGCAGACACACAGCCAGAGGATCGTCTTTTGGCTGAGCTCTGAAAAGACAATAACCGAAGCTTATTAGACAGATATCAGCAGCGCATGTAGACAGGCTTGATTGGAGGAGAAGATGAAGACTCAGTGGTTACCTATTATGTAAAAATCTGAGTTACCAAGATGTGTAATGGTATAAACAAAAAAGAAAATGAAAAGCTACTTTTGTTCTTCTGAAACACCAGATAAAATAGTCCCAGCAAAATATCACAAAATAAAAGGAAGACAAAGACAACAACAACCCTGTTTCTGAAACATTTTAAGGCTTTATAAGCTTAAAAAGGTTGTAAACCACTGATTTTCACTAGAACATAATGCATGTGCAGACTTAGCAAACATTCTATAAAATATGATATATAAATACAAGTTAATTCTTCATAATTATCACATAATTATTGACTAACTAAGAGGTAGTGGATATAGCAGTTATTTCCTGATCCCTTTACATAGTCTGCAAGTAAAAATACACACAAAAAAGTACAGTACTCCTTCATATATTCTGCCTTTCTAAGTGCAGTGGCAGTTTTAAGTACCATTCTTAAGTTTATACCCCGTATGCATAGTATCAAGGACATTATTTAAAATGCCTGAAACACAAATACTGCTTAACTTTAAATGTTTTGGCTTAGTAAATATAGTTTTTTGTTTTTAAAAAATTACTATTTAACCTGCTCAATATTGGAGCCAAAAAATACTGGATACAGGCCAGTAGTTTAAGTGTTCTTTTTTGTTTTACTGTTTTGAACAATTGTAACAGTGGAATGAAACTGAAGGAAAAAAAAGCTGTCTTTTAATAAAAATAAAGGTAGTTATAAAACCGACTCCATTTCGCGAAACTGATTTGTTTTACACACACATAAAAATAAAAAAAGGTAATTTTCCAATAAACCTCCAGGCCTGTTTTGCTTAACTGGAGAACTGATTCACATACTGAATATTCGTCACTCATGCGTCCGTGCGTGTTTCATGTCACTCTATACGTATTCATCTTTTATGTTTTTCCTCTCGTTCCTCTTAAATCTGCTACTGGATAGATCTTATCCTTGAATTCTCTGCGTGTACTTTGGCCTTGTTGCTGACAACATCCTATAATGTTTAAGCCTATTATAAGAAAATGAAAGTATTAATTCACATTCTGTCACATAAAGAGGAATAACAAACTCTGTCTATCTTTACAGTTTCTACTGACGCAAAGGCTTCTTTCTCTGAAAACAAAAATCTGTTCAAATTTGTGCAAATGCTTACATCCACAGCAGCTTTGCATGTTTTAAATGTGCAAAACCTTCAGAGGTAAGAGAGAGAGTTTCATGTTTTGTTATGTGACATTCACGGCTGCCTCTCCTTTCTGTTTGTCCCTGAGCATTGCACTTTGGCCTTGTTTATTTGTCATCATCATCATAAGTCACCTATTTATAAAAGGCATATGAGCTACACTTGAATGATATTATGAATGAGAGCTGTCCACACCCCTTCTAATTCTTATGTATGCAGCAGTCATCAGATCTCTTATTTACACTTTCAGAGTGTAATGGTTTTATGGACCTTATCAGAGAGTCTTATCAGTGTGGCGTTAACTCCCTCAGTTTAATGTGTATCTAGAGCTTGCACCACAGCCATGTTTTTGCAACAACTTGTTTGTATGTGACGATCGTGTCATGTATCAGCTTGTTAGTATGCTGGAATTATCAAGTGATTAGCATTCACAGTGACTCCTTGTGATGGACCGAGCAGTGAAGAAAACTTAGGCACAGGTTAAAGTCCAAAAAAATGATTTTTTATTTAACCCAAAAAACATAATTAGTTAAATCATGCAAAAGAATCAAAATCTTGGGCCCATAAAAGAGGTCAAAATAACAGAACTCTACTCAAAGTTGACAACACTACTGATAACTCAAACAAACTGACCTAACTTAAC